TATTGTTATAATTTTCTTGTGTTGTTTTTGTTGTTGTAACTTTGTTTTATTATTTCGTTTATTTATATTTGTTGTTCTTGTTGTATATGTACGGTTGATTGTTATTACACGGGGTTTTTGTATTTGTTTTATTTTTATTTTTATTATTTATATTAAAAAATAATTTTTCGTTTTTATTAAAATAAAAATTAATATTAAAGATTATATTTTTTTAATTTTATAAACTTTGAGGGTTGATTAGTTATAGGATTAGGTTGGGAGAGTGAGTGAGAGAAAAATATACAAAAAAAGGAAAATTAGGGTTTTGCTTTAAATAATTAACACATTGATTAATTGAGGCACTTTTTGGCGTTTATATGTTTATGTTGCTTTCATATTTTTTGTTTGTTTGTTTTAACTATAAAACTATAAAAAAATAGTATTGTAATGACATTATAGGCTATAATTTAAACTAATTAATGCATTTTGATACAAAGGAATTTAAACAAATGACACAATGGAGTTCTTACTTCTCAAAAAATAAAATTTAAACAAATAATTGGGTGGGTTTGAAATAAAAATGGCAATTGTTTTTTTTATCATAAAATTAAAGTAGTAAAAATTATATATACACAGATATGAAAGGGATTTATTCGATTTTTACTTAAATCTTTTCATTTAAACCATAATTTTCACATTTTATAAAATGTATAAATATTATTTTGTGTGTGTATTTTTTTTTAAATCCTGTTTATTTATTTTTTTAGAATATAAATTTCATTAATTTTGTTGTTTATTTGATTTTTCTTTTCTTTGTGGTTTACTTAAATTTGGCACAATATTTAAATTTGAACTTTTTTACTTTTTAAGATACAATATTTATATATATGATGATATTATATTTTATTTTTTTTTTATATTTTTATTTTTTTTTTTAATTATTTATATAAGATATCAAGTTCTTAAATAAACAAAATTTGGGAGTAATTGAAGGGAAATCAATTAAATTGTGAATGAATGATATAAACCAACAATATTCTTAAATCGGCGACCTTTAGCATTATCTGAATACACAATAAGGGCGCTAAGCAACGGCGTAGCCACTGATTTTTTTCAATTTGTATTAGTTGGCCCCCCGAAATGAAATCCTGCATACTTTGCTGGCCCTAAGGAACCATAAGAATTCACGAATTGAGATCTTTAAAAAATCCTCAATATTTTGCGAATGAATCAGAAAATTTTTAAAATCTAAGACCATAAGATATCTTTAATGATTCAGGAATCTAAGAAACCAAAAAAAAAAAATACCAAAAATTAAAAACATTCTTCAGTAAATCCAACATTCAAGTATTTAAGTGCTTTGTTAAAAAAAAAAAACAAACATTGGGGATTTTTCTGCAAAATTTAATATTTTATGTTCCAAAAATCCATACATTGAAATTCCAAATATTCTTTAAAATGTCTATGGTCTGAAACATAATAATATAGTCAATAAATCATGTTTTAAAAGCCCGAATATACCAGTAATGTTTTTTTTTTGTATTTAGATCAGACTTAAGGACCTTAAAAATTATTAGATTTTTGCTTCGGGAAATAATAAAATTTCGACATCTATTTATTCTATTATTTTTTCTTAGAAAATTATTCAAGAAATTATAATTATTCTTTAAAAAACACACGAATTAAAACCTAAACTGATTGCTCAATAAAGGCAACACCCCGCTTTTTTTAATTTAAATCAGATGTATAACTACTCAATAATGTCACTTAAAACTTTCAAAGTGAGAATGTGGAGGGTCTCCTTAAAGAAGCCTAAAAAACTATTTCCAAATTGCATGTTGTAAGACCTTTGACAATTACAGCATTAAGGATCATGAAAATCATTCGAAAAATTCACGATTGGAACATAAAGGAAAAGTATGTTTGGCAAATCAAAACCAGTAAGGAATGGTCAAAAGTCGGACGGGGCCGACTATATGATACCCTTCACCACATTGGGTACAACATACATGAGATTTTAATATCTAGAATATCCTATAAATCGAATAGTCATAGAATATTTGGAGGATTGAGATGGAATCGGGCAAATTTAAATATGCTATCTAGATAAATATTTAAACCAATTGAAGACCCTTTGGTGCACAATTTACATAAAATGGAACGAATATATATATAAGACGTATATCAAAATCTGAACCGATTTCAACAAACCTTATCACACATAATTTTTTCCTCAATTGCATTTGCAAAATTTTGTTCAATCGGACAAATATTGGGAGTTTGGTGTATCATTCACAAAAAAATCGGAGGAAACTATATATGGGAGCTATTTGTAAATTTGAACCGATTTTAACAAAAAATCGCAGACATCTGTCTGGACCTAATTCAGTACTCTGTGCAAAATTTTATCCCAGTCGGGCAAATATTGGGAGTTTGGTGCATCATTCACATAAAATCGGACGAAACTACATATGGGAGCTATATCTAAATCTCAACCGATTCCAACAAAACTTCGCATACATAAGTATGGACCTGATTCAGTGCGCTATGCAAAATTTTGTCCCAACCGGACAAATATTGGAAGTTTTGTTCATCATTTACATAAAATGGGACGAAACTATATATGGGAGCTATATCTAAATCTGAAGTGATTTTTTCCAAGTTCAATGGGGTTCGTCCTTGGGCCAAGTAGATGAGCTGTGACAAATTTCATCCAAATCGCATCATAAATGGTACAGGTCCCATTTATGATCCGATTTGGATGAAATTTTTACAATTTAACATGGACAGACGGACATTCATAAATCGATTCAGATAGTCATTCTATGCATACTCTCAAAAGGAGCCATACGTCTATCTCGTTTCCTTTTGCCTGTTACAAACATATGCAAAAAAGACATAATAACCTGTACCACAGTGTGGTGAAGGCTATAAAAATGATCGAATCGGACCATTAATAAGTTTTAAAATCCATGACTTTAAGGCGTATATGAAAAGCGTGAAAAGTCTTGTATTTTATGTTTTGAGAACCTCTTGAAAATCAGGTATAAAATCCTTAAAAATCCGAGGTTAATTAAAAGTCATTTAAGATTTAAATTTTCATTTTTTTTTAAATTTAGGGAATACAAGAAAATCAAAAATCCTTAAAATATTTCAGGTCTTCAAAAGTTCATAAGCAAAACTTTATAAGTCAAAGAATTAAAATTTCTGAAAAGAGGAAACTAAACGTCTGAGGAACCTAAACAATCCATGTTTTAAGTCTTTTGGGGATCTTTAATTTCTATAAGACCTTCACAGACTCATTGACCAAATTTTGAACGATAACAAATTGCTTAAGGACACCTGCCCCATTCTCGATTTTAAATTTTCAAGATTTTCATTGGGCTGGTAAATGTTGAGTATTTAAAGGATATTTAAAGGAGAAGAAAAAAAATTTGGAAAATTTGGTTGTTGCTGTTTTGTTGTTGTTTTTGGTGATTAAAGAAAAGTCCTTATTTTTATGGCTGGCATGATAACTCCTCACTGGAACATCGGAATCCGGAAATTCCAAGGGTGTTAGAAATAGTACATGACTGGCTCTCGTATGAACTAGGATTATTGACGTCGCTCTTAAATTAACAAAATGGGGGATTTTTGAAAAAATATTTTTTTTGGAAAATCGCCGATTTTTTACCACAAACCAAGTTAAAAAATAAGGAATAAGGAATTATTGACCGATTGGATTTATCCCAGTTCATTCGATAGCTATACACTCACAGAGAGACGTCCTAAAATTTGGAATCGATCGGATTATTAGTTTTTGAGTTATCGTGCCCGCCATTCGCAAAAACGTTGTTTGGAGAAAAACGCGTTTAAAGTTTTAGAAGCCCTCTTGCCGTCAGAATAAATCGGTTATATATTCAAGAGTTGTTGAGATTTTCACTTGAAATTTCATAGGTACATTCTTGAATTACTGTAGATTCGAATTCAATCAAAATACAAAATTAAATTTTTTGAAACCGAGAAGGGGGAGGTCCCCTTAAGGACATTACCAACAATGAGGGCCTTGGCGAAATTCTATGACATTATAATGCTATTAAAGGCTACATTAAAATCGTTCCTATGTAGGGAGCTATGAAAAGGGTTCTTTATTCCCGATTTTATAATTAAAAAGGTCATTAAAATTTATTAAAAATTATGTAAGGAACCGTATTTTTTTCTACATGACATGGCATGAAAAGTTTTCATTAATGTTCAACGATTGAATTTATAGTCACGAATTCGGAAAAATAACCTGCTAAATGGGCCCTTACAACTCAGGAAGTTATTAAAATTAAAAATGTAGATTTTGTGCTTTAAGGAATTCTAAAAAATCTTGTAAAAGATATTCGAATTAAGGACATAATCAACAATTAGGGCCTTGAAGAAATTCCAGATTCTTAACGGAAAATGATGGCATTATAATGTCTTGAGGAACTCATTAAAATCTTCACCATGTTGGGACAAGTTTTTTATAACCGATTTGGAAATATAAAAAGTTTTTTAAAAGTATTAAACTTCCTCAAAGGAACCGTATCTCTTTTCTATGTGATTTGTTTTGTTTGTTTTTCAATTCCCAATTCATATCATGTCAATTGATTTACAAAAAAGATTTTATTATTATATTTTAAAGTTAGTTTAAAAATATTTTTTAATAAGCTATCATTAGTTAAGGGGTGAGACTTAGTCCGAATGCTTATAAAAGGGGATATGTTTAAAGAGAGTCTCTGTTCAATTTGTGAGTGTGTATATGTTTTCTATTGCAATTCGTTTTTATACAATTATTAAATCTTAACTTATTTACAACTTATAACAATATGCTAATACTTGTCATTATTGTGTGAGGGTGTGTATAAATGTATCTCTATAAGATTTTTGTTTTGTATCAAATATGGCTTAAAAATTAATATTTATTTAGGTAAGGAGAACTATATACAAAAATAAAAAAATATATAAAATTTTCGGAAGCCTGGTTGTATTAAAAATTTCTTAACAAAAAAAGAGGAAAAAATTACATAAAAATTTCGAAATGTTACGTGAACCCCCTACTCGGTGACTGTACCGGTGAGGGTGGTGGTGGCAGCGGTGAAAAATATGTTGAGGAACGTGAACTAGGCGAGGGTGGACATGACGATTCGGGCAATATCCGTACATCACTGTGATAGTGGGAGCGTGGTGTGGGCGGCGGAGGATATGGTTCACTATCATAACCATATTGACAAGAGTTGGCATTTGCCGAGGATGAGGATAATTTGGTATTACCATTACTATTATTACTATTCGATTTACTGGTATAATTTGAGTCCGATTCATCGCAAATGTCTGTGGAACAGGGTGTAGGGGGTGGTGGTTGATTGATGATTTTATAATGGCGATATGGTCGACGAGATCTGGTGGCCGGTGATGGTGGTGGATTAATGGGATAGGCAACCATGCTGGAACCATTTGTGGTGGAACTTGAGGCCCCGGTGATATGATTGCGATCATAAGAATTCATACTTGTCCTTGAATTCAATGTGGACATGCGTACAGCATCGGCCACAGAGGCAATTTTCGAAACCCTTTGGGATTTACTCAATGTTGATGGGGATAATGGATCTGAGGCCTGATCATCTTTGGGTTCATTGCGATTTTTACCAATCCGGGTACGGCAAAATTGCAAAAGATAAACAATGGAGAAGATGGTAATCATGGTGGCCACAATCAGTATCATAAAAGCCTTTTTATCCGAAGAGGGGGCCATGCGCCGGGTATTGGCTTGAGAACAAATATCAGCAGATTCATCTGCACCATCGGCACATTGTTCCCAGCCATCACACAACAAGGCCGCTGAAATGCAGAGCTGAAAAAACACACACAAAGAAAATTAATACCTTGATATAAAATCCGAAGCGAACTTCAATAACCCTACCTTATTAATGGGACACTGAAACTCTCCAGGCCGCTTACAACAATCAGCCTCATCGTGGCCATTGGCACAATTGGTGGTGCCATCACAAACCAAGGCCTTGTCAATACATTCCCCAGACTGGCAACTAAACTGATCCGGCCGACATGAGGGACAGCCGACCTCATCCGATTTATCAGGACAATCATTTTGTCCATCACAACGCCACGAAGCGGGTATACAATCTTTATTCATATCAGTGTTGGCTCCACTACCTCCCGCCACAGGTGCAGCACAGGTGAAATGATCGGGGCCACATGCCGGCAAGGCACCACAACTTTGTTCATCTTCGAGTAACATTAAATTCTTCGGACAGGAACATATCTCCCGACTTCGACCCTCCGAGGAGGCTATGCAAATGTGTGAGCACTTCGTGCGGGCATGTAGGCAAGTGTGATTTCTAAACAACTTCGATTCAGGAGTCCACACCGCCACAATATCTGTGATTTGGGGCATTCGCTGCATTTCCGCTCGCCGGCCATCACCGTTAATGGTGATTCTCTCAACTCCCGTTTTGTCATCCAGCCAATAGACAAAACCCTGCAGGGCAGCAATGGAAATCACCTGACTTATGTGAGTGGAAACTAAGATTTTTCTGGAAAAGAAAAAAACCACGATAATTAAAAAAGGTCCTGGGATCTGAGCCGTTAAATTTTGATACTCACTTATTTTTCCCATTAATATCCATGGAATCAATCCGCTTGCCATGAGCATAATAAATCATATCCGTCTGTTGATCCACAGCCAGGGCTGTAACACCCTCCAGTTTAAAAGCCAATACCACACGTTCGGCGCCATCTACTCTGGCCCTAATAATGGCCTGTTGACTGCCAACATCTGTCCAGAACAACAAACGTCTCATAGAGTGAACGGCGATGTTGCGGGGCTTCTCCGAATCACCGGTATCAATTACGCCAATGGCATCTCCGGTAAAGCTGATATGGGTAGAAGGAAGAGATTAATAGCAGAATAAAATAAAATCCACGCCTAGGGTTAGAACTGGAAAAAAATTGCATTAAAAATCCACACTTATGGGTAGAAAAAAATCCACGCCTATATATAGGCAATGAAAATCCACGCCTATTGTGGGTCCTTAAGGCTTAAGTAGAAGCTTTTTAAATAAGGTCTATATGGCGTATACGTCACGTTAGTAGTCATACGCCACATGACCCGAATTTCCATTTTTACTCACCTCGTTACATTAATACTGTTGGAATGAGAACAGGTCCAGAAAAGTAAACGGCCAATAACATCAATGGCAATGTCAAAGGGTTGAGAACCAGAACCCACCAGCACCGAGGCTCGGGTGCCATTTACCAAGGCCCTTTTAATGCTGTGGCTACGGCCTTCCACCTGCAAAGGAGAACAACTTTAAAATTCCCATTCTCTCTCCCCAAAACCTCCGAACTTACCCAATAAACAAAATGTGTGATGGGATCATATTCCACAGCGCGAATATTTTTCCCCGTCACTGGCAGCGGAACATTCGGACAATCTGTGGTATTCGGCATGAGACGTCCAAAACTATTACGTTGACTAAAGATAATATAATTTTTGGGTGGAATACATGAGGCCTCATCCTTGGCCAGGGTGTAATGGGTGGGACAGGCACATGTCATACCTCGCCTACCCGGTAGAGGTAAACATAGATGCGAACAACCACCATTATTAAACATACAGGGATTCGAGCCCGATTGCCGCTGACCATAGAACACCACCAAGGAACTTATGTAGGTCATACCACTGTGTATGAGACTTCGATTTTGCCCAGTGATTTTGTGCACTCGCTCTATATCTCCCGTGTTCCAATCACTCCAGTAGACATAGTCTTGATAGAGGGAGACCGCATAAGGTTCATCAATATCCGTGCTGACGAGGACTTGTCGCTTTTTACCATCCCAATCGGCTGATTCAATTTTGGTGGGCCTTGATTGTGTGGCCCAATAGAGACGGCGAGTCTCTGAGTCCAGTGTCAAACCGGTGGCATGATTGGCCCCTGAAATAATTGTCTGTAATTCCGAACCATCCATGGCTGCCCGCCGTATAGAATCTGAGGGAGATTCTGTCCAATACATATACCCTTTACGGGGTTCCAACACCAAGGAGCGCGGTTCCTCCACACCTTTCCACAGCAATACTCTTCGACTGCTGCCATCTAGACGTGCCACTTCTATGCGTCTCGCCTCCGAATCTGTCCAGAAGATGTTGTGGGCCAACCAGTCCACCGCAATACCTTCCGGGCGTATTATACCCGCATCGACAATCCTTTGGACATAGGACCCGTTGAGAAAGGCTCGATAAATACATTTCGATTTCTGATCCGTCCAATAGATCCGTTTATCGGCCACATCAACATCCAAGGAGTGGGCATAGCGAACATCCTTGAAGGGTATTTTCTCATCATTATGGTTCCCCTCATTATTCTCAATGGAAATCCGTCCGATATATTCCTGCTTCGAGAATAGTAAATACGCCTCGGGTATCACACAGGTCTTCTTATCATTCGCCAATTCATATTCAATGGAACAACGACAGACATAATCACTGGGACGATTCAGGCAAAGGTGGGAACAGCCACCATTCCTCACGGCACAGGCATTGGTGCCCTTCACCTCTCGCAGGCGTGTTACCTTCAACCCCATGAGGTCAGGATATTGATCCACCACGACGATACGATTATTCCCTGTGATTTTATGGGCCCTATCAATGGATCTCCTTTGCCAATCGGTCCAATACAAATAATCATCGAGGAGGCTGAGGCCAAATAAATGTTTTAAATTATCACTGATAACCACTCGGCGATCGGAGCCATCCATATTGGCCACCTCAATTTTATCCGTTTTACCATCACACCAATAAATCGTTTTGGCCTCAATATCCAGGGCAATGCCATTAGGCCACACGAGATTGTCGGATACTAACACCACCCGCTCAGAACCATCGAGAGAGGCCCTCTCCACTTTCGGTTTCTTTTCATTCCAATCGCTCCAAAACATCCACCCTAAAGTGGGAGCCAATGCAATTGCCCTGGGTTCTTCGAGGTACTCATAAATCAATACCTTGCGGGCAGAACCATCCAATCGACATACCTCAATACGATCGGTTACCGTATCAGTCCAATAGAGATTCCTTGCCAACCAATCCACAGCCAACCCATCTGCATGCCTCACCTCGGAGGTAACAAAATCCGAGATACCCGTACCATCAGGATGAGCTCGCTTTATGGTATAGGCCTCCACATCAGACCAATAAATATACTCATCCACCGGATCATAATCTATGGCAATGGCATATTTCACCTTACCCAGGGGCAGGGGAAAAATTGTAAAATCCGGTGAGTCCAAGGAGATCTTGGAAATTTGCCCTCGCTGGACAATGAACAACATTTCCTGGGAACCATTGGCACAGGTGTTGTGGGATATCAGTTTCACACCCGTCGGACAGGCACAGCTATAACCCTGGGCATTGGTACTGAGCAGGCACAAATGGCTGCAGTTGCCATTATTATGGGCACAAGGGTTGTCTTCATACGGCTGCAGTGAAGGATGCCATGTCCTAACCGAGTTCGGGGCCTCAGGCGTGTCAATTAGTTCCTTCATTTCCCATGAAATCAAATCGTACACATTCAAAGACCCCTGAGACCAATCTGTCCAATACAAACGATTGTCGAAGAAGGTTATGCTATAGGGGTACTTCAGGTTGTTGACCACCGTCCTCCGATTACTGCCATCCAATTTCATGACATCGATAAATTTCAAATGACCATCGGCCCAATATATCAAATCATTTTTCAAATCCACAGTTACCCCGTTGGGCCAAAAGATATTATCCTTGACCAGGGTCATACGCGATGTCGGATCACCATCCATACTGGCTCGCTCGATTTTCGGATATTCACCCCAATCGGTCCAAATGAGAAATTTCTTACTCGGCACCAGGGCTATGGCACGCGGTTGATCGAGATCTGTCCAAAACAGAACCTTTTGATATTTTCCATTCAGTGTTGCCACTTCGATGCGATTCTTTTCACCATCAGTCCAATAGATTTTATCCGTAAACCAATCAATGGCCAAGCCTTCAGGTTTATCCAGTCCCGTTGATATCACAGTTTGTTTGGGAGCCTTCAATATGGGGCCCGTTGTATTTGTATTGACACATTCGATCGTTTCGCGGCCACAATCGGTCCAGCATACCAAATTTTTGGCATAGAAAAAATCGATGGCCATTGTTTCGGTTAAATCTTTGACCAAGACATCGACTTGTGGTGCACCGGTGGGTTTGGTAATATTCGCCACCTGGATATCGTGATAGGTGGTGAATAGAAGTGTGGCGGGTGTATTGAAAAAGGTTGCTGACGGTGAGGATGGTGTGAGACTGTTGTGAACTGGAAGAGAGAGAGAGAGAAATAGAGAAGACGAAAATTAATAAAATTTAATTAATAATAAAAATTAATACAAATTAGGTCTATGAGGATCCATATGGCGTATGACTGCTGTCAGCATGTATACGCCTTAGATTGCCAAGTTTAAAAATCATACATATATAATAGGATTACAGTTTGAAAAATTAATTTAAAAATTAATAATAGATTAATTTGAAAAATTAATTTTAAAAAGAAATCCTCGCCTAGGGTTAATGCTTGAAAAAATTATTTAAAAAAATCCTCCTTGTTATAGGTCCTATAAAATTATTTTTAAAAATTCCACTCCCTGTGTTAGACCTTTAAAAATAGGGTTAATGCTTGAAAAATTTATTTTAAAAAAATCCTCCTTGTGATAGGTCCTATAAAAATATTTTTAAAAATTCCACTCCCTGTGTTAGACATTTAAAAAATATTTTTAAAAGTTCTACGTTTAATTTTAGCCTGAAAAAATTTAATCTTCCTTAGTGCTATGCTGCGTATGATTACTGTCGTTACTTATACGTCTTCATTTAAATTGAGAAATTTCCCCAAATATTATTTAAAGCTAGCTTTTTTAAAGTGTTAACGGTCCTATGGTGTTGACTAAGTTTATAATTATTTCCCTTCCAAAACAAAAACCAACTGAAGCGGTTACTTCTTCCTCCTACGTAAATTATCCTTTCGGTCTACAGGAAAAAGTAAAAACAGGAAATAACCCAATTTCATGGTTTTGGGTAAAGAAGTGGATCATGGGGAACATTATTTTTTTTTGCTGTTTTGTAGAACAATTGTGGTCCCTATTATTTATTGTACTCCCTAACACTGTGCAATTAAAATGTTATTATATACACAATATTATATATATTTACTCTATATATAAATATATATGTAGGTATGTATTTCTATGAAGGGAAAATGTATATAAGAATGCAATGAATTGTGTGTAATATTGTTGTGTGTGTGTGTTTGTATTTATGTCGAAAATTTCACATATATATCATTGGTATGTACATAACATTTACATAATGTCTTACTTTAAATATGCAGGCATTGGAACACTGAGGAAAAATTTTGGTTGTGGGAATTGAAAAAAATAGGAAACGATAAAAAATATTATATTTTATGGACCCGCAATGAGTGCTGATTGTGTAAATATTTTTTAAAGCGTGGAATATTTTAAATAATACAAAAATATTTAGAAATCTCTATTAATAATAAATTGGTCTACTAGTGCGTATTAGTATTGTCGTTACTTATACGCCCTGAAGTCGCATGGAATTTAAAGTATTATATTCTATTTATCGTATTACTCATTATTTTATTTACTCATTTTTACATTAAAATTTATATTTTTTCTTAGTGCATTTCACATCTACGACATAATATTCCATATTGAAAATAAAGAAAATATTGAAATTTGTATCCTAAAGACGTTACGAAAGATAATCGCAATTACTGGGTTGAATTAATAAAATGTGACAAGAAGTGGATCCATACTGCTATGTTAAAAATTATACTTTTTTCTTAATTTTTAAATTACAAATTCGAAACAATTTCATGTTTTTACAACTTCAGGATTCCTAAAAATTTACTAAAACTAATTTCTCTTTAAAAAAAAATATTGTTATCCTTTATCTTCTTTTGCGAACTGTAATTTTTCCTAATGTAAATATTTACACCTATGCTGTATTACAACACCAATAGATAGACAGATGTTCTCTCATTCTCTCAAAAAAATTTTTTCTTTAAACTTCATCAACCAGAAAGTAAATAGGCAAGGTAAACACAGCATTTTGAAATAACAACAAACCCTTATAATTTATCCTTAAATAGGGATGAAGATATTGGTAATGATATTTTAGCGTATTTAAAAAAAGGTAAGCAAAACTCTTAATTTTATTCTAAGCACTCATATATGAAACTGTGCTATGAGGCGTATAACTATTGGCAAAACGTATACGCCAAAAACCCTTTTATGTACATTTTTAAAATTTTATATATTTTAAGGTATATAAAATCGGCAATGGACTGAAATTACTACAAACTCTTATACCTATTCTTAGATAGGATTGAAGATATCGACATATTTCCTATGCGAAAAAATGAGAGTGTGCTATAGGGCGTATAACTATTGTCATCACATATACGCCATGAGGACCTCTTATCAATATTTTTAATTTTCTATACAAAAGGAATTTAAGGACTAGATTTTTTAGGCATTTTTAATATATTCAATTTTTAAAAATTATTCTGAAGGATTTTTTGTAAGCGTAGATTTTTCAATAAAACATTTTAGGATTTTTAATTTTCTAAACATTAAAGTTTCTTTACAATTTTTAAAGAGAACAAGACAATTTGTTTTTGGAACCTTTTTTTGTACGGCCAGCTCCAGGCCAAGCTTTTTAAATACGTTTTAAGTTGAAGTTTTGGAAAAAATATTTTTGAAATTAACCCTAAATCTTGATATTAAAAAAATGATTTAAAAGCAGTTCTAGGCCCTGAATTATTTATAAATGTTTTTGTAACTTTGTAGGGCTATTTTTGGTCTGGATGTTTGAAAAATATTTTTGTAATGAAAATTTTATGACTGGATTATTTAAAAAAATCCCATTTAATGGTCAACAATAGGCCAGTATTTTTTACAATTTTTTTTTTTAGGAAAACCAACCTGGTCAGAATTTTTTAAAATATTTTCAGAAAATAGCTATAGGACTGGATTTTTCAAAAAATATATTTGTAATTCAACCTTTAGTAAAAATTTTAGCCAGAATTTAAAAAAAATCTTAGGTATTTAAACATATTTTCGTAAAACATCTTTATGAGTGAATTTAAATGTAGGTAAGATAATCCAGGATTTTCAAAAAATATATTTCTTAAGTCAACCACATGCGTTGAATAATTTGTTAGAATTTGAGGATGCTATGGAATGGGAAGTCATAAGTATTTTGCATAAAAAGTACCAAAAATATTTTTTGAAAACCTGGAGCGTATGCATAGTGACAACAATCATACGCTATATGGTCATATGGTCCATGTGGCGTATAACTGCTATCAACATGTATATGCCCCCTATATCATCCCTAAGCGAACAACTCATACAAATCTAAATTCAAAAAATTCTCTCGTCTATTTATAGGTGTAGATTTTAAAAAAAAAAAATTAGGGACTATCAAAAGGAGTGGATTTTTTAAAAATATTTTTTAGAGACTATCAACAGGCCTGGCTTTAAAAAAAATATGTTTTCATAGGCCAACCTTTCGGTCTGATTTTTTTTTTTGTAAGACCAACCTTACACCCGGATTTTTTAGACCGATTTTCATGAGGCAACTTTAAGCGTGTATTTTAAAAAAAAAATACATATTTTTAAGACCTACCAAAATCGTCTGTTATTTTAATATTTTAGGTCCGAATTTTTAAAAATATTTTTTCATGAAGCAACCTTTGGTCTTGAATTTAAAAAAATATATATATTTTTGTCCTAGATTTTTTTTATAATATGCGTGTAAGACCTATCTTAGACCTGATTTTTTTTTTAAATATTTACATAAGGCCAATTTCAGGTCTCGATTGTTAAACAAATATATTTTTGTAAGCTCACCCATAAGTCAGGATATTTTAATACAATTTCTAAGTTAAGACCTACCAGAAACGTCTGTTATTTTAATATTTTAGGTCAGAATTTTTAAAAATATTTTTTCAAATATTTTTTTCAGCAACCTTTGGTTTTGAATTTGAAAAAGAAAATATTTTGTCCTAGATTTTTTTTATAATATGCGTGTAAGATCCATCTTAGACCTGATTTTTTTTTTAAATATTTACATAAGGCCAATTTTAGGTCTCGATTGTTAAACAAATATATTTTTGTAAGCTCACCCATAAGTCAGGATATTTTAATACAATTTTTAAGACCTACTTTTAGACTAAGGTTTTATAAATAAATTTTTATAAATAATTTTTAGGCGTGGATTTTTGACAATATTTTTTTATGTTTGAAAATGGTATTTCCCATTTTGCTTTTTTTAATAAAAAAAATCTACTTACGACCCTTAAAACTATTTTCTAGTAGCCCAGGTTCATTGAAATCTGTAGGGGGTCCATTGCTATACAATTATAATACAAAGTCGTTTTTTCATATATAAACCTCATGTTATTTCAACCCTATTTGGTAGGGTTTTCTTCTTTGCTCTCCCATCATGTTTATGCAAGAATTTAAATTATAAGAAATCTCTTTACAAGCTAAGTACTTAACAATACCTACTTGGCAGTTAACAACCTACAAAATATGATCCCTCAGCAACGAGCTAAAATGTTTCCCTACTTTTGTTTGGCGTTGTTGATATTGTTGTTGTTGCTTGGCACTGCATTGTAAAATGCAAAAAAAATCGACGCAGTGTGTTTTTTTTTGTAATATGTGCAAGTATTGCATGCGTGTTAAGCAGGCAGGTCTCTTCTTTCAACCACCCTCCGAGACGCATCCATGCAGCCAAGCCTGCAATTGGTTTGGCAGTAATGTAAACAAAGGGTAAAGTGGGGTTGGAGCTGGCTGTTACACTGATTACACAAAAATGAAATGGATACGCACTAAAAACAACAACAATAATAACAAACAACAACAGCAGCAACAACTCCAACAACAACAGAAAAACACGTCAGCATCATTTGCAAAAGTTACGCATAGGCACGTCGTAAACAAAAAATAATAATAAACAAAAAATAACAACAATATCAAGTAGTCACCACCCTACCCTACTGCCCACCACTCTCCTTTTTTTCAGAGCTGGGTCCATGGATTTTTCCTTGGAAATATTTGTTTTTTTATCCGTTAGCCAAGGTAGTAACAACAACATTTTTGTAACCTCTTTCGAACCTCTTTGGAAAAAAATATTGTTCAGCATGTGAATGATTATCCTTATCCCCTATAGTGGAAGATGGGAGGGAGGTGCATATTATAATGCTACATCATGCATGCCAGGTCGAAGAGGGTAGATGTTA